GGCGGGGCGGGGCGGGCTCACAGGCGGCATAATAAGACACTGCGCCAGCCCAGCGGCCTGCGCCTGTGCCCGTCACGATCGGTCACGGGCGGCGGGTCGGGCAGGGGCGGCAGCAGGGCGCAAGGGTGCCTCGATGCGACCGATCGGCAGTCACGGGCTCGGGAGGACTACACAACAACCTGCGCCCGCCGCCGCTCGCTTGCTCGGGTGGAAACGGTCTCCGCTCGGCTCGGCCGGGGCCGGACCCGCCGCGGGCCAGGGGGCGGAGAGAAGAGGACGACCGGTTTGGGTCGACGCTGCTGCGCCGCCAGGCCAACAACGGGGCGGGCTGCGCGGCCAAAGGCAGCCGTAGGCTTGCGAGCGTATTAAATGATCGGAAAAAGCTCGGCCGTAGCGCGTGCTCCGAGAAAGGCAAAGGAAACGGACGACAAACTTCGCTAATTCGTTTCTCACGGACGGACGGTCGGGTCGGTCGGGACCAGTCGCGGCCATAGCGTCCTGCGCGGGCCCCGGGGCGGCGGCGGCGCGGCGGGCACTGCGCCGAGGGGAGAAAAAATACACATAAAAACTGAACGACAATCTGTGCGGTGACGGACGGGTCGCGATGAAGGATGTGTCATGATGGACGGCCGCTCCAATCGTGTGTGTGTGTCTGTGTGTGTGGCGGGGCGGCAGCGCGGTCCTGCACGCGCGCAGGCGAAGAGGCCATGTAGGGCGGGCATCGGGAACCCTCTGCCTGCGCCGCGATGCAGCCACTCGTCCCGGTAGGGCCGCCACAGGGCCGCCGCCGCCGCCGCGGGGCGCGCAGCAGCAGCAGCAGCGCATTTCCAACCGACCGACCGCGAGGCAAGCGAAATGTGATCGAGGGTGCGCGCCTGGCATTGTGTGTGCTCCGCGGGCTCCGCGTCGCGTCCGCAGAGCCTAGCCGTGTGCGAGCGCGGGCCGCGGGCCGCGGGGCCGGGGCGGGACGGGCATGCACGCTATTAAAAGGGCCATTAACTTATCTGTCGCTGTGATCGCCGCGCCGGGCGCCCAGTGAGCACCAGCGAGTGTGCCACGCCACGGGCAGGGGCCGTCATGGCCGGCCGCGAGGGCTCCATGAAGTGCGTCATGGCGAGCCGTTTGTAGGGCGGCGGCGCGCGATCGCGTTGTTGTTGCGCTCATCTGTATCGCTTTGGTGTGTGTTTTTCTCCTTGCTCCTGCACCCTCGAGACCTTTCTTAATACTAACGACGCCGTGTTTCTCTCTCTGTCTGCCCCACACAGGTTCGCCCTGCGAGCACGACGGCATCTGCGTCAACACGCCGGGCTCGTTCGCCTGCAACTGCACCCAGGGCTTCACCGGGCCGCGCTGCGAGACGAACGTCAACGAGTGCGAGTCGCACCCCTGCCAGAACGACGGCTCGTGCCTCGACGACCCCGGCACCTTCCGCTGCGTCTGCATGCCAGGTGAGATATACACTAGTGTTCGACGGCTCGCCTTGCGATCGAGACGAAGCCTGCGCGTTATTTTCCTCGTTGTTTTGATGTTGGAAGTTTTGAAGCGGCGACGAGGCGGGCGGGCAGGCGCGGGGTAGGCCACCCGCCTGCCCGCCGCGCGCTCCGCCCCGCCGTGTTGCCTACCCCACTGACCGCCGGCGTCCCTTCTGCCCCGCAGGCTTCACCGGCACGCAGTGCGAGGTCGACATCGACGAGTGCCAGTCGGACCCCTGCATGAACGGCGGCATCTGCAACGACATGATCAACGGCTTCCGGTGCGTCTGCCCCAACGGCTTCACGGGCGCGCGCTGCCAGACCAACATCGACGACTGCAAGTCCTCGCCGTGCCGCAACGGCGGCATCTGCTACGACGCCGTGGCCGGCTACACGTGCGACTGCCCGCCGGGCTTCACGGGCTCCAACTGCGAGGTCAACATCAACGACTGCCAGAGCTCGCCGTGTCACCGCGGCGAGTGCATCGACGGCGAGAACTCGTTCACCTGCCAGTGCCACCCGGGCTTCACCGGCTACCTGTGCCAGACGCAGATGAACGAGTGCGAGTCCAACCCGTGCCAGTTCGGCGGCCACTGCGAGGACCTCATCAACGGCTACCAGTGCCGCTGCCGCCCGGGCACGTCCGGCCCCAACTGCGAGATCAACGTGAACGAGTGCTACAGCAACCCGTGCCGCAACGGCGCCAAGTGCGTGGACGGCATCAACCGCTACTCGTGCGACTGCGTGCCCGGCTTCACGGGCAACCACTGCGAGACCAACATCAACGAGTGCGCCAGCAACCCGTGCGCCAACGGCGGCGTGTGCGTCGACATGGTCGGTACGTTCCGCTGCGAGTGCCCGCGGGGCTACTACGACGCGCGCTGCCTCAGCGACGTGGACGAGTGCGCCAGCAACCCGTGCCTCAACGGCGGTACCTGCGAGGACGGCGTCAACCAGTTCATCTGCCACTGCCCGCGCGGCTACGGCGGCAAGCGCTGCGAGCAGGACCTGGACGAGTGCGCCAGCAACCCTTGCCAGCACGGCGGCACCTGCAGCGACCACCTCAACGCTTACAGCTGCGCCTGTGTCCCCGGCTACTCCGGCACCAACTGCGAGACCAACATCAACGAGTGCGCCAGCAGCCCGTGTGCCAACGGTGGCTCCTGCATCGACCTGGTGAACGCGTACAAGTGCGTGTGCGAGCTGCCCTACACTGGCCGCGACTGTCTGCAGCGCCTCGACCCCTGCTCGCCCAACCGCTGCCGCCACGGAGCCCGCTGCACGCCGTCCGCCAACTACATGGACTTCGCGTGCATGTGCGACGTGGGGTACTCGGGGCGCCTCTGCGACGAGGACGTGGACGAGTGCGCCGTGTCCGCGCCGTGCCGCAACGGCGCCACCTGCCAGAACACCAACGGTTCGTACGTCTGCCTGTGCACCAAGGGCTTCGAGGGCCAGGACTGCCTCACCAACACGGACGACTGCGCCACCTTCCCCTGCCAGAACGGCGGCACCTGCCTGGACGGCATCGGCGACTACAACTGCCTCTGCGTTGACGGCTTCACCGGAAAGCACTGCGAAGTGGACGTGGACGAGTGCGCAAGCAACCCCTGCCGCAACGGCGCGACCTGCAACCAGTACGTCAACTCGTACACGTGCACCTGCCCGCTCGGCTTCTCCGGCACCAACTGCCAAACGAACGACGAGGACTGCACCGAGTCGAGCTGCATGAACGGAGGCAAGTGCGTCGACGGCATCAACTCGTACACGTGCCACTGCCAGCCGGGCTACACGGGCTCCAACTGCCAGTACCGCATCGACGAGTGCGACTCGAACCCCTGCCTCAACGGCGGCACCTGCAACGATCACATCAAGTACTACACCTGCCACTGCCCCTACGGCTACACGGGCAAGCACTGCGAGTCGTACGTGGACTGGTGCGCCAGCTTACCGTGCGAAAACGGTGCAACTTGTCGCCAGGACAAGAACCACTACCAGTGCCTGTGTGGCCCCGGATGGACCGGCAAGGTCTGCGACGTAGAGATGGTCTCCTGCAACGACGCTGCAATCCGGAAAGGTCAGTTATCTTAATTCGAGTGTCCATGCTTTGTTTGATTCTATCTCATATTGCAAGCACTGTATTAATATACCCAATTTTCTCATGTTTATCCAGGTGTACAAGCTGACCGTCTTTGCAATAATGGTACCTGTGAAAACATTGGAAACAGTCATCGTTGCCACTGTCTGGATGGCTATGCTGGAAGCTACTGTCAAACAGAAATCAACGAGTGTGAATCTGCTCCATGTCAGAATGGTGCCACTTGTCGTGATCTAGTAGGATCTTACAGTTGCCAGTGTGCTAAAGGTTTCCAAGGGCAGAATTGTGAGCTGAACGTGGATGACTGTCGGCCCAACCCTTGTCAGAATGGAGGCACATGCCATGATTTTATCAACAAGTTCCGCTGCAGCTGTCCACCAGGAACTTTGGGCATTATTTGTGAAATCAATCTTGACGATTGCCTGCCTGGTGCCTGCCACAACAACGGTACCTGTGTGGATAAAGTGGGCGGGTTTGAATGTAGGTGCCCACCAGGCTTTGTTGGTCCACGTTGTGAGGGTGACATCAATGAGTGTTTGTCCAGCCCATGTTCAGAGGTTGGCACTCAAGATTGTGTGCAACTTGTCAACAATTATGCATGCAACTGTAAGCCAGGCTACATGGGACGCCATTGTGAAGCAAAGGTCAGTGTTTACTGCTCAAGTTTGCTGTGGTTATATGAGTTTTGTTCAATGTTTTTTTTTGTTTGGTTTTTTGTTCTTGAAAACTAATTTGCTATTATTTATTTGTCAATCCAGGTTAACTTCTGTGGAAGTTCTCCATGCCAAAATGGTGGAGTGTGTAGACAACATCAAACTGGTCACACTTGTCAGTGTCCGGATGGTTATTCAGGCATGAACTGTGAATTCTTTGGGTATGACTGTGACTCCAATCCCTGTCAAAATGGTGGAGTCTGTCGTGCAGATGGTAGAGGATATGTTTGTCAGTGTTTGCCAGGTAGGATTTCCTTCAGACATTAATTAATTGCCGCAATCAAAAGGTTTCCCCCAATCATTGCTTAATTTTGAAAATTTCTATTCACAGGATCAACTGGACACCACTGTGAAGTAGACAACCGCAATGAATGTGAGAGCAACCCTTGTCAAAATGGTGGAGCCTGTCAAGATTACATTGGAGACTACTTGTGTGAATGTCCTCGTTTCTGGGCTGGTAAAAACTGTGAGAAGTACGATTCCAAGTTTGCTGGAGGAATCTATCGTATTGGAAAGCCCAAAGTATCCAGTTTGGACCTGGAAATTGAACAGGCCAAGTGTGTTGCTAATGGTTGCGAAGAGAAGGCTGGTAACAGAAAATGTGATCAAGAATGCAATACATATGCCTGCCGGTTTGATGGAAATGACTGCTCACTTGGTATTGACCCATGGCGCAACTGCTCAACCCCAACAAGATGTTCTCAAGTATTTGCCAACAACCATTGTGATCCTATTTGCAACAATCCTGGCTGCTTGTTTGATGGCTATGATTGTGGACGGTTGTTTGAACCCTGCAGTCCTCTCTATGATGCCTTCTGTCAAAAACGATATGCCAATGGAATTTGTGATGAACGGTGCAACACTGCTGAGTGCAACTGGGATGGAATGGATTGTGAGAAGGATTCACCCAAACTAGCAGATGGTGCTTTCTCCATCATTCTGAGTATGGATATGCACTCCTTCCGCTCGAATCTTATTCCATTCTTGCGTCTACTGGGTCATGAGCTTCAGACAACTGTGAGAGTGAAGCAAGATGACATGGGCAATGATATGATTTATCCCTGGAACCTGCAGCCACTGGCAGGAGGCTCAAATATTCGGTCTGGAGTTATTGCGTACTTGGAGCTAGATAACAGGCGTTGTCTTTCATCTGAAGAGACAGAATGTTTTTCATCTGCCACTGAAGCTGCCGAGTTCCTTGCTGCCAAGGCTTCAAAGATGTCTTTATCCCAAGCTTTCCCTATTTATCAAGTACAGAGGATACCACCCGATGATGAAGATAACACTGGTGCTCCAACAAATGCTAAATATGTAATGGTGGGAGTGATGCTAGTAGCACTCAGTGGTCTGCTTATTGGAGTTTTGGTCACAGCCCAACGCAAGAGGGCTGCGGGCATCACTTGGTTCCCCGAAGGTTTCCTGCGTAACAACAGTGGACCACGTAGACGGTCCAGACGCCGAGGACCGGATGGCCAGGAAATGCGCAACCTCAGCAAACAGGCTTCGATGGGCTGCATTGACATGGAACTTCCCCCTCACGGCATGGGCGCTTCGTGTGGAAGCATGGGAGGAATGAGCAACATGATGGCTCAGAGCCACTGGTCTGATGACGAAAGTGACCTGCCGCCTCCCAAGAGAATGCGCGGTGCAGACATGGGCGGCGGCTACGCATCGGACCACACAGTTGTAACCGATTATGAGGAGGCTGAACCTCGAATGTGGTCCCAACAACACCTAGATGCTGCCGACATTCGCCGTCCTGATCCCGGCATTATGACTCCACCCTTGGTTAGTACATTTTTCCTCCACGTGTTCATCAACACTTTGTATTCCTACCTATTCGTTCCCTTGCTAACATCTTCCCTCCGCCCTTTTTAGGACAACACCTGTGATGTGGATGTGCGCGGGCCTTGCGGTATGACTCCTCTCATGGTGGCTGCTGTTCGTGGAGGCGGACTGGACACTGGCGAAGAGGAAGACGACGAGAACAGCTGCCAGGCCATTGCTGACTTGGTCGCCCAAGGTGCCGACCTCAACGCTGCCATGGACAAGACTGGCGAGTCCCCTCTGCACCTGGCGGCCAGGTACGCGCGGGCTGACGCTGCCAAAAGACTGCTGGACGCTGGCGCTGATGCCAACGCCCAGGACAACACTGGACGCACCCCTCTCCACGCTGCAGTGGCAGCAGATGCCATGGGAGTGTTCCAGGTGCGTATTTTGCGTCACAGCTGGTGCCCCCACAACGAACGTTCCCCGAGCTGACTTGGGGAAACATTTGGCTCCAAACGCTGTCTTGCCCCAGCCCTTGTTGGGTGTTCAGGGCGGGCCGCCGTCTCCACACAGCTGGCTGGCGGGTTAGCCTACCCTGCGCGTTGCAGGCGCTTCCACTGGCGTCGGGCGTCGAGTCGGCTAGGGAAATGTTCTTTGTGGAAACACCGCATTTGTGATTAAATGTAATCTTTTCTCCATTCCCAGAACACACATCTAAATATTGTATTTAAATACTTTTGCAGATCCTTCTCCGCAACCGCGCTACCAATCTGAACGCCCGTATGCATGATGGAACGACTCCGTTGATTCTCGCCGCTCGGCTTGCGATTGAGGGTATGGTGGAAGATCTCATCAACGCTGACGCTGATATCAACGCAGCCGACAACTCTGGCAAAACTGCTCTTCATTGGGCGGCTGCAGTCAATAATGTCGACGCTGTCAACATTTTGTTGGCACATGGTGCCAATAGAGATGCACAGGATGAGAAGGTAAAATACATTCCTCTGCTTTTGTGTGAGTTAAAGATTGGTTATTGAAAAACATCATTAATTTTGTAAAAACAATTCCATTGCCTTATAGGAAGAAACACCATTATTCCTGGCTGCCCGTGAAGGCAGTTATGAGGCAAGCAGAGCATTGCTGGACAACTTTGCTAATAGGGAAATCACAGATCACATGGACAGATTGCCAAGGGATGTGGCTAGTGAACGGTTACATCATGACATCGTGAGACTACTCAACGATCATGTACCTAGAAGTCCACACCCTGTTTCAGTTATTTCAAGTGGCCCATTAGTGGGTGCTGATGGTAAGTTCTACATTATGATTTTTTCTTTTAACTTTTCACCACACCTCTACTGCAGTTAAGTCCTAAGCTATTTCTGTTGTTAACACAGCTCTCCTTCCCTTCACAGCTTCTCCAGGACAGCATCCGCTTATCACCCAGCCAACTGTGATTGGGTCTAAACCTACCAAGTCAAAGAAGAGGCCAAAATCATCAATGCATGGCAATGGCCCTACAAATAATCCAACAAGTCCTGACATGGACAATAATAACGGCACAGCTGTTAGAAGGAAACCTAGTGTCAAGAAAAAGAAACCCAGTCCATCCCACAACATGGTCAGTAACTCACCCCTAAAAATAATTTTGGCTTTTGTTTTGATATTGCCAGTCTTGTAACTGGTATTTATTTCCTTCCACAGGACCAGGGAATTCGCAGTGTAGAGAGTGTACTAGCCTTGTCACCGGGGGAGTCCCCCGGCCTGCCAGACTATGAAAGTGGGCAGATCTACGGTAGTCTACTAAGCGGGCCGGTCAAGCAGCCGCCGAGCTATGAAGACAGCTTCAAACCTCTGCACCAGCTGGACCAGTTGGACCGAGCCGAAGCTTTAGATCACTACAGTGGTGAGTGTCTTTCCCCGTTTCGTCTGGAAACGAGAGTTCCTCACATGCCATTCCTTGGCATGATCTGCAAGCCACACCAACCGTCACTAACCCTTTATCTGTTATTCCAGGTCCCTACGGTCTGACCAACTTTCACGACCAGCAGACGACGCTCGGCCTGCCGCCCCACGGCCGCCAGGCGTCGCTCCCCCTGACGCTGGGCCAGCCGCAGCAGCTGCAGCTGCACCCCAACACGCTCTCGCCGCCCTACTCCAACAACCAGAGCCCGCCCCACAGTATTAACATGAGCCTGTCGCCCGGCAGCTACCTCAGCTCCCCCTCGCCCACCAAGTCACGACCGTCGCTGCCCACCTCGCCTACGCACTACGCGGCCATGCGCGCGGCGACGCACCAGAAGCATGGTGGCCCTACTGGCAACCAGCAACCGGTGAGCTTCGACTTCGAGCTGGGGGCGTACAGCCTACAGTCGCAGAGCCAGCAGCTGCAACAGCAGCAGCAACAGCAAAGTTTACAACAGCAACAGCAGCAGCAACAACAGGGTTCGAATTTTTACCCGCAGTACCTAACACCTCCCTCTCAGCACTCTGCTCACCTAGGGCCAGACGGAACGCCTCAGCACCAGCCGCAAATCCAGGCTCCTGAGAACTTCCCTACGCCCTCACCCGAGTCACCGTGGAACTGGTCCTCTTCCTCCCCCTTGTCCAACTCGGACTGGTCGGAGGGAATATCCAGTCCCAATGCGTGCCCGCAGTCCAGTCAACACCCCAAGTCTGAAGCTATTTATATCTAGGACTGATGTGATGATGTACTGAGATGTGCTGAGAACATGCCAAAGTAGAAAGACTTGTACAAACATGGAAAAGAGTGAAGCAGACACTCGACCTTTGCCATGAAGCATTTAGAATATTTTAATGAGAAAATTTTTAAGCCATGACTGAAAATGAAGACGACTAACAAAGACTGGCTCATGTATTCTCTCTTCCTTTCTGAAAAGGAATGTTGTATTTATTGATACATTTGAGTTAGTACTACTGCCATTTTAGTGCCTTTATGTATGTATGTTTTTCGGTGACCAATCCAATCCAAACAGTGCACCTATTAAAATTTTATCGTATCTATTTATTTTTGTTGTGTGCTAGTGAAAGTGCTCAATTGTTTTCTATGACAACCGACTTAGGTGCTTCTGCATACTAAAATGTAGTTAGCCTTTTTTTTAAATATCTTTTTTCTACTTTGTGTGCACCATAAGACAGCATTATTGTAGGTTGTAAATTATGACTTAATTATTACTTTTGTGCTCTCAGTTTTTTGGTGCATCAAGATCTCATTATTGTAACATACACATTGTTGGTCACAAAATTCAAATGCTGCCAAGAAGTGATCTTTTATATGTTTGGAGGTGTGTTCTTGTGCTGGCTGTTGGACTAATGTCATTATATAACTCATCCAGGATATACATCATTGTACGAGTTATTTGTTAAAAGAATCTTTTTTATAAATTGCCATTTTGTAAATATATATATCTTTTTACTTAAATGTACAAAGTATTTAGTACGTATTTAGCCTATATGTGAAAAATGTTTGTGTTATGTGTCAAATACATAGTCCCTTGCTTTATTGTTTGTGACAATGAAGTGTGGCAATTACCTGCATTTCTGTACATATGAAGCAAAATCCACACCTTTTGCACTTTGTGATTTTTAAATGAATGGTATCTTTCTCCATAGACATTGGATGCATGCCTGCAGAGTCATTTGTGCTGTTTTTTCTGTGTTTGGGCTAATTTTTTTGAAAATTTATCAGTTGGTCCACTCATATTGTCTTACATATTTGTATGCATGCTATTTATTCTGGTTAGTTGTAATACAATAATGAATTCCCAAATTTTGATATGAGTGATAAATTTAATTTTGAATGCTCAGGTTTGAGTAAAGTACAAATCATATCAAAAGTTTTTGTTCTTTAGTGACTATTCACCTGCCTCTTCTTTTCCAGGAAGAGACCTGACTGACGTGATGGTTTTATTCTTTCATGCTCTTTATTGAAAGTGTAACTCTTATAAACATTTGATTATGCAGTGCTAATTGTGACCCATTTTCTCATCACCAACACCCCCTGAAAAAAGATTGTTTTGTTTTTTTGATTTGTGTTAATTGAATACTCCTTACTGAATCTCTGTTAATTTTCATAGACCAATTATGTAAAAGAACTGATTTCTTTTGTACAGAAAGATACTGTACCAATCTGTCATGTCATGAACATGTTTGTAAATTATTTACTTTGTGATAAATATTGTTAGAAAGTTATTTAGACTTCTATTATAATGTAATGTACAATATGGTATCACCAACATTTGTGATTAAATGGAGGCAGGTAAGTGGAAGAGGTGACTTTCCAGTTTCTGAAAATTGTGTGATTGTATCTACCTATATGTGCCTGCTAAGGCTAATTAATTTTACTTTTCAAAAGATTTTGGTATGAAATAATGATCAGAAACCCTTTTCTGGTCAGTAAAGTTATTACTATTCAGTGATATCCTTATTTTTGATAGAGTAATTTCTGGGTTTTCACTTATTCATAATTATCTGCCTGCAATGAGTGGTGATCTAACTAATAACATCAGGGAAAATTTGAATGTCATCTTTACCCCTGGGACCATGATCAATTTGTAAAAACAACTGATATTATATTTTCCTAGATAGTGATGTGGTAAAGCAACCCTGAAGATTCAGGCAAAGCTATGGAAAGTAGTTTTTAGCCAATCAATCAATAAATCAGTGTATTTGTACTTACTTATTGTCTTTTTTTCCAACCCCACTCACACACGTTGTATAGACAAAATCATTGTTATGGAGCTAGAACATGTCACAGCATTACATTATATTTCAGCACCACCACCACCTTAGTCCTTTCTTAAACAGTAATAAATTGCCTTTGGCTCATTGATAAATTTATCACTTCAAGTTTCAAGTGTGGCATGATCACTATGTGGTCACTACGTAGTACTTCCCTTTGAGGAAGATGAATCGCGCCGCAAGTCCTAGATGTCTTAAAAACAAAGTGAAATTCCAATGTCAAAGTCTTACCAGTAAAACGAGTGAAACATCGAGAGAGGCCCGTACGAGAGGGAAATTAGTGACGTCATTCTCAGAGGAGAAATGACTCCTTATTGGGAGTCTCCATGGTGTCTCGTGTTGCCTTATAAGGGATTCTCGACCGAAACCCCCTAGTCCCCACCCTGTACCCCATTACGATGGCTGCAGCAGATCAGAGACTTTAAACGAGAATTAAAAGTTCTGAACGTAGTACTTCGCCATCCGTAGGCGTATAGCTCTCGATAGAACCCCCAAAATGTCGTGAACTTTCTTTGAATTTTGTCGTTACTCCCCATCTGGCGCTCGGCGTTGACCTACATCCTACATATCAGCCCACCAGAGTGCGCTAGCGGCGGGGTGTGGTTGGGCATTTGTTTGTGCTTGTGAGTGAATCATTCGTGAGGTATCCGCTCAGTACGTTCGTCCCAGACACCGAAAGGTGAGATTTTCGTTATTTGACGCAAATTAATCGGTTTTCTAGTGTTTGTGAGCACAGATTTGTGTCATGGTTTTTGAGATACACCTAGAACTTAGAGCAGAATCCGTTATTTTTGAATCCAAAGTCTCTAAGTCTTACCAGTGTTTGATCCCATAACCAGCAGATGTTCCCAGCCTTTGTGTTATTTAAAGAAAGTAACCCCTGATAAATGTATTTGACGGTTTATTGAACATTGCTATGGCTTTTATTTTAAAAATTCCATGTTTAGATTCTATTATTTCTGTGGTAAATATGCAGGATTCTAATCGCCCATTGAGTTCTGACACATCATTTGTCAGGCTTTGCCTTTCTTGTTTTAAAACAACAAAAAATAAAAAGTTTTATCTGCTTTTGTCTCCTGCTACCGTTACTGGAATGTGTTTTTTTAGTATACTGATTACCGTGTCCATGCTCTCTCTGTATTACGTCATTTTTATTTCAAAGTTAAATTTGTTAGGTTAGTCATGTTTACGGAGATGACATACAAATTTAACTGTTTCAAGTAAACGTCTGTTATTATCTTTAAAGTTTTCACTTAACAATATTTCTGATTTTTTCCTTGATCCAGAAACAGAACCAAAGATGTCGTCCAGAAAGACTGCAACCCGTCGGGCTACCACCAAGAAGCGCGCCCAGCGTGCCACTTCCAATGTCTTTGCTATGTTTGATCAGGCACAGATTCAGGAATTCAAAGAAGCTTTCAATATGATTGACCAGAACCGAGATGGTTTTGTTGACAAAGAAGATCTTCATGATATGCTGGCATCTCTTGGTATGTATAGCTCTTTTATGCTAATTATCGCCGATTTTTATCATTATATTCAATTCTGCTTGCAGACTCTTTTCTATGATCTATTTTAAAAATATATTTCTATCTCTTTTACACAGGCAAGAACCCTACTGATGATTATTTAGATCAGATGATGAATGAAGCTCCTGGCCCTATAAACTTCACCATGTTTTTAACTCTCTTTGGTGAGCGGCTTCAGGGCACTGACCCCGAGGATGTTATCAAGAATGCCTTCGGCTGCTTTGATGAAGAGAATCAAGGTGTCATTCATGAAGAACGTCTCCGGGAACTGTTAATCAGTATGGGTGACCGTTTTTCAGATGAAGATGTAAGTAAAACATTTTACATATTATCCCCAAATATTCTCTTGTATTTCACATTAATTTACAATTTTCCCAATTATTTTAGGTGGATGAAATGTACCGAGAGGCTCCTATTAAGGGTGGCATGTTTGACTACATTGAATTCACAAGGATTTTGAAGCATGGAGCTAAAGACAAGGATGAGCAGTAAGCAGTCTCTCCTGTTGAAGAATTAGGTTGTGGTTTGGTGAGATTCATCATGTGCCTTTGTAATATTTCACATTTGTTACACTTGTGGGAAATATTAAGAGCTCAGATTACTTAAAATTTTGTTCTTTGACATCTAGCCACCATTTCTGTTATACTTTCTACAATCGTCATTAGTTACTTTTTCTTATATCTTTCAAAAGAGAGTTTAGTAGATTGGGTGAAGCATTATTTTGGTGAATTTGTTTTCATTTAAGGGGAAAGCTAATTATTTAT